CCTTATACACAGGAATACAGACATTGACACAAGTGTGAATTTTGTTTCAGGTGTAGTTCGTCAACAACACCCGTCCTCATTCGATCTCACAACATTTGAGAAAAAACCAGCGAATGGTTACGCCAAGCAGGAACAAGGATTTATGTCAAAAATAAAAATTTAGGCCTACCGCAGATGATCAATTAAATAGTTTTTTCTTGACATTTCTTCATTGTTTCATTTATATGTTCCTTTAAAAAGTGTGTTAATAAACAACAGAAACAATTTTATAAAAACAACTTTTATACTTGAATGTATTAGGGTACTTGTGATTACATCTGAACAAATATTTTTACTCATTTTTTTATCTTTGTGCATTTATTTTTTGTTTTTTTACTGTGCAAGTATTTTTTGTGCACAATTTAGAATAGGTCTAAAAAGTTACTACAAAATCTATTATTATTTGTTGAGCCTAGCCTTCTTGTTTTCTCACATTAAATAAACAAAAGGGAAAATGGGAAACTAAAAAAACAACATTTTCATGTAAGAATAAGATTCAGTTAAAAAAAAACTAGAAATTATTCATCAGTTGTGAGAAGTGAGTTAGTATTTTCTTTTACACTTTCAGTTGTTATAATCATACTGTATTATTATTAATAATAGGTTATTTTTCTAAACTATTTCAACTTAATCTTCTTAAAACATTCAAGCTAGTTATTACTATTAATTATTATCAGCTGAATAATACTTGGTAATATAAACACTAATATAATAATTAACATATTATTTACTTTTTTATGCAAATAAATGCACTATCCAAAATGCTTGTTAAGTGGTACCTATTCTCATCAAGGTAATTTAATAAGTTTTTCTCAAATAATCTTCAATGTACGATAATTAAAAAAATTTGAAGCTGTCTTGGTCTAATATTTGTTAAGGTAGTTGCCATATTCTTTATCTTCCCTACTTCGTTAAAACACATATTCTTTAAAGGTAAAATCATTTGTTTTTTTGTGGCTGCTATCATTTTTAAGGAAGTCTACAAAAATTGCATAATTCTCTCATTCTTTGGTTTGATTATGATATGAAAATAAATGCTGATAGCTAGCCTACACCAACAATATAACATTACATTTTGCATACTGTATTGTAATGATGTAGTAACTGTAATAGGTGCTCTTTCCCCTTCTAGACTTTCACTAGGGCCCCTCTGGTTCACCTTAGGAGCTTCGGATGTGATCCGTACCCCGAGGTCCTACGGGCCTGCTTCAGATGAAACTACTGAACAGCAGTAGGTTGTCCCTAAACTAGATCAATTAGGTATTTACCTGACAAATCACAAAACACATATTTCTAATGAAGACTTAAAATATTGTTTTACCATCATACAACACACCAACCCTCATGACACATAGTTCACCTCCCATAACAAATACATTCAAAGAAAACTGTTAGTAAAAATCAATGTATATAATTTTATATATTGATTTTTATGACAATTGTATTTTTGAGCCACTTTTTATTAATATGGCATCAAATATGTATCATCTATGTATAAAATATGTATTTTATACATTTAAGGTATGCATCAATTTCTATCAAAATTTACAGATTATATACAGATGTATAATATGTATTATATCTGTAGTTGGATCCCTATACAATATGCATATAATACATATTTAGGTGGGACATATTTACAGATACAATCTGTATTGTATACATTTCTATACAGATTGTATACAAAAGTTATACCATGCCGGTAGGTAAATTATACGTATTATATACATATTTGTGCTACTTGGGAATGAACTTCAAACTTGCATTACCCACAATCCCTTGCTTCTTCATCGAAGCTCAGAACCAGAGCACCCGCCCAGTCGTGTTTTGTGTATTGTCCTATGTACGTGCAGGGTAAGCCTTTGTCCGGTATCGTGTAAATTCATCAAAAGTCACGGTACTAATTTGAAAAAATTTGATCCTCATTACCCGCTTTAGCCCATATCTCGTAGTGATATATTTGCTGCGTGCTTGAAATCACAACAATCATTAGGAAAAAGTCAGTTTCAACCATTTCCAATTAGTACAAACCGCCCTTTTAAATTTCAATTGTGATCGTTATGATTTTTGAACAAGTCATTTTTGCGAATACAAAGGCCTGTCCTAATATGTATCCCTGTGTATGTGTTTAGTGTCCGGACGTACCATGTAAGTAAAATTTGTATTAATTGTTAACTTTAGATGATTATTTGTTAGTGGTTCGTACATGAAATACTGTGTTTATTCCTGTCTGTAGCACAAGTTAATTAAAATCACCAACTGATTTAGTTGAATTATATCCATTTCAATCTCATTTGTCTGTAACTAAGGTATTTAACTAATTGTAACAATAGCCAACAACTTAACGTCTGGTATTTGAAGTTTTTTATTGTCACATAGTGACTAGAAAAAATCAATTATTGATTCAACTTTGGTGTAACACCAGAACATTATTTTTGATCTTGCAAATACAAATTGCCGCTAACTCTCATTTGGAGTAAATTAACGTAAAAAAGTGGAAACAGGCTGCTGGTTCGCGTCGGATAGTGGTAGTAGGCGATAGAGGTGTGAAACTGACCATAGACAAATTCCCAAAAACACTATTAAATATTAAATAATTGAGATTTTATTATATGCTGTATGTATTACTACTGACACAAAAAGCCATTCTACGAGATCTGCACTACAGTAACCAAGATACATTGTTGCTGGCCAGCCCCAAAGGACTTGCAAGGTGTTGGATTGTCTCAAAATTAAATATTCACACCATCTGTTCCTGTTGTCGCTGTGGGTCGCATGGCCGCGCCTTTCACTTTTGAAATCGTTTCAAGGGAAAAAATTATCAGTTTTAGATGGCAAAAATTGTACTAAAACCCTTCAGGTAAAATTCCATTGTTATACAGTAGAGTTCATTGTTGTATCACTCACCAAAGGGTTATACAGGGTTAGTAAAAAGTGTGGAGACCCCCTGTTATTTGTTTAACGGCCCATACTAGAAAAACTAAACTCGGCACACCATTATGGCATGTTATGAAGTACTTTTTTGGCATAACCACCACTTGGTGTACATCCCCAAAATGGGGGATTTTGGGGGAAACTCAAAAATTTCAAATTGAAAGACCCATCGAGTGACCCTCATTTTGAAGGTCCTGGTAAAAGAAAACAAAAAACGCAAATTAGAGGTCTCTATCTCAATCCAGTAAAAAATGGCAACCAATTGAAATTCTCAGAAGTTAAATTTAACTTACAGCTTTCCAAGTCTGGAGACCCCCTGTAAATTTTGTAACGGCTCACACTAGGAAAACTAAACTCTACACACTTTTTTGGCATGTTATGAAGTATTTTTTAATCCTAATAGCCACTTGGTTCCCAAACCCCAAATGGGGGATTTTTAGGAAAACTCACAAATTTTAAATGATAAGCCCCATCGAGTGAAGGTCCTAATAAAAAAAAACTAACAACGCAAACTAGAGGTCTCTATCTTAACACAGTAAAATATGGGAGCCAATTGAATATAAAATTGCAAGTTATTTCTGATTTCTAAAGATTTCAATCAGCTTCCATTTTTTACTGGATTGAGATAGAAACCTCTAGTTTGCGTTGTTAGTTTTCTTTCACCAGGACCTTCAAAATGAGGGGTCACTCAATGGGGATTATCATTTAAAATTTGTGAGTTTTCCTCCAAATCCCCGCTAAAATCAGTGTATTTATAAGGTTACCATCACATTTGGAATACAGTATATCAATCAGACTAAGACCGTCTCATAAGGACCTTAGGGAATAATTTTTATTCCACATGGCCCACTTTAATTTTTATTAACGCCAAGCTTCCACTGCCACCCCTCTGTTAAGTCATTTTTGTTCTCTTTGTTCTTTGTTCCCAACCCAGGGCCCAGGGGCAACCATAAAATGTGTAAAGTAATCAGTGAGAAGTGATTAAGAGGGATATATTGACAATAAGGGGAAGTTGTTTAATTTTTATATCAAAGAAATCCCTTTTTTTATAAATAAATGGAATAACGAACAACAATGAACAATACTTCAAATTGAGACATTACAACAACAAACCCGATATTGTCCATATATCCAAGAAAGGCTTATCGTACTCTTATAGCTCTACTATTGTCCCATATCTCAAAGCAACCCACCTCAGCGCCTACATTGATGTGAGCCAACACAAATTCTTTTTTTTTATTAACAAAAGTCAAAGTACAAACAACTGTATCTGTGAATCAGACGGGGTCTGGCACATACACAATCCTCCCTTCGTTAGCGTCTGTTCAAGTACCTTATTTAAAATCATGGCAAAGGTAACTTGTACAGGGAATTCCTTCTTAGTCAGCTGAAAGGATTGCGGACCATTGGTGAGGTGTGACAGTTTGACCGGATTCAGTCAAACTTTGCGTTAATAGTGTAGTTGCCAAAGTCAGCTACATTCGGAACTCTAAATTCCAAAATCCATCATCACAAATAATTTGTCAAAGAAAAAGAACAATGGTATAGCTGTAAAATATAAGTTACAGAACTTATATTTTATACTCGTCCACTCAGCTACCACTGGTGTAAGAGATGAAGGGTAACAGAGAGGTATGCAGTTATGAGGAGGAAACTGTCTGGTATATACAGTATTGTGATAAAACAATGAGAAAGTACAGGTGCTTAAAGCATGTAGACAGCGGTCGTCTCCACTTACCCGTGGCGGTGTACGGTCTTACTGCAAAATAGGCCTAAACTGTCACAGTCACAGTACTCAGTCTGTGGCGAGGGTCAGAAAACACAGAATGGATAACTGAAGATAAGATAATCGAGCCTGTTGAACAGTAGTATTTATGCTCCATATTTATTACTAGATGAATAGAACAAATGATATATAAAATTCAGTGCTATGGGTGATGGGGCACATTGTAGAAACTAACCAGAATAGTTATGATTATCGTATTTTATGCTTAGAGACTAAGAACTAACAAAAATGTACTACTTACCAACATCAGGTGTGAGAGGAAAGCCTACGCTGACCACTGCTTCATGGAGATCCTCCAAAGACACAGAGCGCCGGGTCACCAATGACCCCACCTTGGATTTGGCATTTCTGCACAATTGCACATAGAGCATTCAATAACTAACAGTGGTGTGGTGGCCAAGTCACCAACATTGAAACCAATATTGAAATGTGTTAGCTTAGCTAATAGATGTTGTACGATGTTTTTTATCAACCAATACTTTTAGTTACAACCCCAAGTTGATTTTGGAGTTTTCTTGGATTTTAACACGTTCGCTACTGCAATAGTACGAAATTTTCCATTCACATGGACCAGCGACGCACATATGCGACGGCCGGTTTCTACCCACACAGTCCAATTGACTGTGTCGCAATTGACTGCGACGGCTAGTCAGATTAAAATAGACTGCCGACGCATATTTGCGTCGGGGTTCTAATGTTATTAAAATGCTTATATCTTTGTAGTGGTCTATTTGAAGGCACTGAATTCCCTGCAGTGGTCTACAGAGATGTCTGACGCACAACTGCGTCGCTTGGTCTGTGGATATGATGATTGGTGACGTCATATAATAGTAGGAAAAAGTGGTCTTTACTTTTCTGCATCACTGTATGTATGTATGCTGCATTATCCTATGTAGCTTTTATATTTGTTCAGTTATAAACTGTTCTTGAATAATCTGTTTATTTTTTTACTTACTTTCACCTTAAAACACAAAAAAATGAGCCGTCGCATATATGCGACGTTTAGTCTATTTTAAGAAAACTATGATAATTTTCACTATTGTTTTCGCTGTAGACCGGGCGTCGCAAATATGCGACATTACAAAAGGTTATAAAAAATACAAAAAAACAAGAACAATTTATTTACAAACACTATTGTAGCTTATTACAATGTAAATGATCACTGTTTTACAGGTTTTCGCCCGTGGTCTGTGTGTACATGTTATCCAAGTGACAGCCGGTCTATGTGTAAGATTGAAATGTATACCTCGGTCTGTGGCAAAGACCGCGGCGTCGCATATATGCGACGCTCAGTAGCGAACGTGTTAATATTTTAAGTGGAAAAAATGCATTAATGGTAGTAATAAATACAGGTAAGATCCAGTCATAGCACTACTACATGAATTAATCAAATAAAATTTTGCAACATTACTCAGTATAAATAAACTGTTCTGATCAGATTATTATCAGTGAAGAATTATCAAATAATACTGGGAGTGCATGGTTTAGACAAGGGCTCTACAACCTTAGGCCCGCAAACAGATTTAATCCGGCCCGCGATGCCTAATGGGAAATCATTTTTTATATAGCTTAATTGGTAAAAATCGTTGATCGTCAAAGTTGCGGCAACGCCCGTAGGCCTAAGTAAATGTTTCGTTCTCGGTGATATCAAAATCGTCATTAACGATTGCGGCAACTCGGCAATATCTTGGTTGTCACCCACAGTTGGGGCAGTAACCGTAAGTAAATGTTGCTGTTTCGGCGATAAAGTGATCGTCAATCAAGGTCGCGGCAATAACGCTAAGTAAATGTTGCGGTCTCGGCAATAACGTGATCGTCATTCGCGATCGGGGCAACATTCGTAAGCATATTATGCGGTCTCGGCAATAACGTGATCGTCATTCGCGATCGGGGCAACACTCGTGAGCATATTATGCGGTCTCGGCAATAACGTGATTGTCATTCGCGATCGGGGCAACACTTGTGAGCATATTATGCGGTCTCGGCAATAACGTGATCGTCATTCGCGATCGGGGCATCATTCGTAAGCATATTATGCGCTCTCGGCTATATCCCCATTTATTTTTATCTCATTGTTTACGTTTTTTCCAATAAGAGATAATTAGCTGTAAGCATGTGCCTAGTGATCGAGCCATTTTAATACAGATCTTCCAAGCTAAGTGAACGTTTGAATTGAAAACAATATTAAGGATCAGGACAACAAACTTTAACCCTGATTTTTCTGACCTTAAAGTGGCAAATACAAAATTCTCCCAAAACATTGCTGTTTTAATTTTAGCTTTACTCCTTGTAAACTCACTGTCAATTATTCTTATGGTCATTACAATAATGTTCAATCAAGTTAACTTAGTGGGTGGTACGTCGAAAATATTTGGTGCTGTGTCATCCTGTGTTTTCATCAGTCCTACTTAAAAACTTCCATTATAGAACAAATACTAATTTTATCATGATAAATATAATGTAAAATTAATTTATATTAACTTTCTTATGAACTCGAATAATCATAAAGCCTAATTATGTTGTGAGAAAGTATGACAAACACAGTCATACCCAGTCAGTTTACATTATAACCATAAATAGCCATGTTAGATAAATCAATTTATTTTGTTTTTGGTCACAGTATCATTTGCACAAAAACGTACAGAATTGTAGTTAGTCAAAAGGTTACAATATGGCTAAAAAATCAACAAAAAATGTTCAAACTTCATTTCTCTTTAGTAACATCATTTTATGTCATTAAATCAATCCTGGAGGCAAATGATGTATAAAATATATATAATGTTTGGGTTATTTGCAGGGGGCTACCTTTCTACAATGAAATGTTGATGGTCCGGCCTAGACTTTCCTCCAAAGATTTTAAATTTGGCCCTTGAATAAAAAAAGGTTGGAGACCCCTGGTTTAGAGTCATGTAACAATAAAACCAAAGTACTATAATCTGAAAGGATGTGCTTAATAATATTATACAGTAAATATCCATTATAATACTTGCAGTAGAACCTCACAAATTCAAATTTCAGAGGAAAGACAATATATTTCGAACCATAGGAAGTTTGAAATAGAGAGTTTTAATTATAGAGGTCATAATAAATACAATTTGAATTATGGAGGTCCCAGTTTTAAGTGTAGAGAGTTTGACAGAACGGAGACTAATGAACACATCAAGGGAAGATCAATAAGAGCGTCAGTTCATATTTCAACAGGTGTATTTTTTGTCCTGAATTCAAATTACAGAGGCTTACGGTAACACAGTTTAGAGGTTGACTTCGAATTTTGGAGGTAACAGTTCAAATTATGGCAACAAAATGTGAATTGTAGAGGCTCAAGTATGAGCAAATTTGAATTGTAGATGCTGCATTAAGCATAAAATCACTTTGAATTATCGTATATTATTTTTTTGAATTTTAGAGGGTTTCTGAGTGGAACAGTCAAATTATAGAGGTTTTCGAATTATTGAGGTTCGAATTAGTATGAGGTTATATACTATATAATGTTTACAATAAGTAGTATTGACTGTTGTTTTGGTGGCTTTGAAACAATTTATATTATAACCATATCTGCAAACAATATTCTAAGATAAGTGTGAATTTGACCATGTTTTGCCTCGATTGATAAAGAGTACTAATAACAATAGGTATTTAACCTTATTTACGTCTTCAATCCAAGTCGTCTTTTATCTATATATATAAAATCCAATGTATGTAACCTAATGAGTATCTATATATTAATTTGAAACTTTTTTTCTTTGTGACAGCTAATTTGAGAGAATGGCTGGGCGTAGAAACTCGGTAGAGGTGTCTAAAGAAAGGGCTTGGTCTGTAGATGAGCCATCAAAAGAGAAACGTGGTAAATTCCCTTGGGGCTCTGCCCCAGTGGCCTTTAAATTCCCATCCCATGTTATTCTTATGGGGTAAAAACGGGGTTTTGTCACAGCTAATTTCAGAGAACGGCTGGGCGTAGAAACTTGGTAGGGGTCTCTAAAGAAAGGTCTTGGTCTGTAGATGAGCCATCAAAAGAGAAACGAGGTAAATTCCCTTGGGGCTCTGTCCCAGGGGCCTCTAAAGTCCCCTCAGCAGATTTGTTTACATTATGACCATCTATATATTAATAGGCAAGCATGTTTCTTTAAAAACTTTTTTCTCAGCTCGTGTGTAACGCAGGGAAAATCTAAAAGATATTTAAAAAAAAAACTAGAAAGATTATTTAGAAAGATATTTTCCTGTAGAAGTGCAGAATCCCTTTAGTAATTAAAATAGGCTCAAATATAAGCACAAAAAATTAATTTGAAATTTAAAAAAATTAACATGGGCTATATGGGTTGCCATGCTGGTGACTAAATAACAACGAAATGTAAACAGAAAATCAAAACAAATGGAAGAAATTCCAATCACATGTTTCATTTACAGCGTGGGGTGAAAAAGATAGAAACCATTTTGAATGAGCTATATCAATTGTTATGGCCCATCAACTTTGTCAGGAACAAAAAGTAAGGTAGAAAATAGAATTTAAGTCATGCTTTCGGTGAATGGCTCACAGAACTACAGTACAGTAGGTACATGTTTTTTTTTTTTTTTTTATAAAAACAAAATTGCGACAGCTGGTCCATAGAGATGGGATGTCTACTTCAGTATCCAATAGTCAATACGTGTAGATTACATGTTTTTGGTCGAGTTTTCGACCACTGGACGACCACTAGTATGTATAATTTTACACTACTTTTTAATGAAACAGCTGTTAATTAATATTTAAATTGTGATTTACTGAATTTGTCAAAATGAAGTATTTGCAAAGGTTTTTTCTGATTTTAAAATCAATTTTCTTCTGCATCGTGTCATGTTTTGCAATATAATGTTGTAATGTTATGATGTGCAATCCAAATCAGTGGAAAATCCTAATATCACAGTAACTCTAAAAATTATTTCTTATAGAGTTAACTTATCTCTGTTGTGTGGGTTGGTTTCTGCCTTTTTTACCACTTCTTGGAGATTGTACGTAGGCGTGTTGCACGTAGATGATATTCTTTGGCGTATTGCATCTGTAGACGATACTTGGGTTGGTGTAATTATTACAATGGAAAAAATCGAGAAATCCTGGACAATTTGATATAGGCCAACTAAAAATAAAACTGAATTAGAAGAAATAGAAATAATGTTTTTTTTCTTCATTTATAATCGTTATTATAGAGAACCTAATGAGTGGGAACCATTTGTAGAAAACTCTAAAAAACAAGATCAGATTTTGAAAAAAGATAAGATATTTACAAACAATTTTGATTATATCTAACTGTTGTGTACATCGTGAGTATTTCCATAATCTTTGAGTCGACTTTTATAAAGTCATCGGAAATTATGACCGTTATTCGTTTTAAAATAACGCCAGTAATGCTTCGCAATTGCTCGAATTCGAGCAACAGGTACACTAGTTCATATTTAAAGGGAATTAAAGAATTTAGTCAGCTGTTTTAACTAAAAAAGTTGGTTCTATGATATGGAAAAGCATTAAAAAGTTATGAGATTTACCAACAGGGTGCAGCACTATATTTTTTTGCATTTATGAAAACAGCTAATTTGAACTAAGCAGCAACAAAAAACTGTGATTCGCAATGAGAACTGTCAAAGTAGGATTGTTTACAGTTATGTATATGTTTTTCTTTTCATGAATAATTTGTGATATTTTGCGAATTGTTGATAATTTATTTTTCTCTATTGTTTAGGTGAAGTGGTAGAACATTATGGCTAAGGTAGATGTGTAATACTATAGAATACTGTAAACTTAAAAAAGCAAATTTTATCAAACTGTGTCCTCCCTTATTGCAAACACAAAGCTTGAGTATAACTGCAATAAGCATTTTATACTTATATTCCAACCCCGTACGAAGGACGGGTACTCTGCTAGTTCATAAATAAATGTACTTTAGGTCTGCTAAAAATATATACATCGAAGAATTATACGTTTGCTTATACGTACCGAATCGCAGTAAATCTATTTGTAGTGTTATAACAATGATTGCAGAAATGGTCATTCATTTTAATCAAAGATTGATCTAATATTTTATGAGTAAACTAGCTGTTTGCCCGTTCTACGTACGTGAATCTTGTAGTAAGTTGAAACCTTATATTCAGAACAGGAGTTGGTTTGCATATTTAGTGTGCATTTTTCCAGATATGCTGGCAAAACTATTACTGTAGATGAATACATATAAACCTTAGCAAATACAATATCTGACAGTTTCAAAGCCAAAACGAATGCTTCGCAATTAAATGTCACCCGATCGTGTTAGTCCATATTTTATATCTTATGATAAAAGGAATTGATTTTTAGATCTATAAGGCATAGCCCTAAGGTAGGCCTGTAATTGAAAGTTACTTTTCACACTGAATAAAAGTAGTTAAAATACTACCTCAACCTCACTACTGCCAACTTTATTCGGGTTGAAATTTTCATTAACAAAGGTGCTCTTGTCCTTCCCACGAAACACTGAGAAATTAGGACATTAATGCGTTACTAACAGACATACACACACAAAAATACAGAATTGAATTAGGGGATTTGCTACGCTTTAACCAAAGCAAATTACAAACAAAATAATTATTTGAAAGTTTTGATAGTGTCGTCAAATTTTATGATAATCGTTTTTAGGCCTAATCAAACTGTAAAATTGGTGTAAATCCGTTGGCAAATATATAAATAAGTAAATAAATACACAGTCCACAAAACATTTATACGTTAACAACGCCAAGCTTTAAAAATTCATGATGGTTTAAAAAAAATCTTTCACTAATGTTTTATCATTTTCATAGCATAAATAAACTAACATTTTAAAGTACAGACAGAAAACTCAAAAAATATACAGTAAGACATCAATTAAATTTAATAAGAAATAAGAAGCAGCACTAACGATAACTATTAGTGATGTGTTTGTACGTAAAAATGATTCTTACTGCCACCACCGTTTCTAAGGAAAAGTAGCAGTACCAACAACCAACGTTTACATTTAAGAAAAGAACTATATTTGACGACCTCCGATGAGTGATAAGTGTTTCTTGAAGACCTGATGATGAAGCTATTAATGCTTCGAAACGCGTAGTCTCGACAGACAGCCTTTGGATTACTCTGGCAGATCCAGGTACCATTATACCTTTTATAATCTAAAAACAGTAATCCTGAGACAAGAAACAACATGAAAGAACTATAGTACTTACGACCAATAAATTCAAACTGTCTTTCTAATCAAACTGTATTATAGGTGTTAATCCGTTAGCAAATACATAAATAAATAAATACTCAGGCCACAAAACATGTAACATGTAACGTTAACAACGTAAAGCTTTAAAAACTCACTATGGTTTGCTAAAAAAAACTTTCACTTGATGTGGTGCAGTACCGAAGTTATTAATCTCCCATGGTTTTAACTTTTTTTTTAGTTTTCAAAAATCAAAGTTATTTCCCATTAATAGCATTATTTGTAAGCAACTTTCAATGTTAACATATTAATGATAGTTTGAAAAAACCACCTATATCCAAACAAAGGTTTCTTATTTAAAATATTACGTCATCTCTAAACGATAATCGGTACATATATCTAGCAAACATTCGGAGGAAATGTGACAAAAAACGCACAAATCTGGGGTTTTGGACGTTTGTAGTTTTACTTCCTAAGTTGGAAAAGTACCGATATCGTTGTCAAAATGTAAGTAAGTATAAATCAAAAGTGACACATTGGAAAAGCAAGTTTAGCTACATCTGTAAGTTAAACCTCTGTTACGATCACAGCAAAATCAGAAAGATCTTCGAAGATTGCAGCAACATCCACGATCACCCACTGCAGTTGTGATTTTTTACTTTGCACTTTACACAACTGACCTTGAAGCGCCGTTAAGGTGTGGAAACCTTTTTTGTAAGCTATTGGTGACGATGATAAAAAAATGTAAGTTTCCCAGCACTATACAACACTGATTCACGGTCTTTTCCCACGTTATCAAAACTCAAGAACAATCATCGAACTTGCAATTAATTAAACCGGGCACAACGTTTTTAATCTAACTTGGTTTAGATGTGCTTATAAAACTTTATCGAAAATAGTTGTGGTATTTGTAAACAGTATTTAATGTAAACATATCAGTAAACATTCCATCATTAGACCTACGCACCAATAGAAGATGGCTCATAGGTCTATTGATGGAATGGTCTAATGAAGGCAGCGCAATAGCGGTGATAAGTGACATATTTTAAAAGCGAGTTTAGCTGGAAAAAACACTGTAACGTTGACAACGAAATCATAAAGGTCTTCCGGGGTCGCAGCAACACCCGCGATCATCCACTGCAGTACTGTAGTAATTATTTACTTGATAGAACAGCGATCGAAACGCCGTTAATGAGTGGAAATCTCGATTGTAGGCTATTAGTGGCGATTATTTAAAGAATTTAGCTTCCCAGTCTTATACAACACTGATTTGCTGTATTTTCCCTGGTTATCAAAACTTAAGTTAAATTTTATAGACATAGAATCTCCAGGTTCTTCACCTGGATGTGAATGATAATTATTTTAATTTACAGTTAAAATTATAGTACTTGCGATCGATTAAATCCGTTATGCAAGTAAAAAGGTCAATTAACGTACTTGGTTCCTCAATTAATGGGGATCGATTTGCGTACAAAATGTGATTGGAAGTGTTGCAGAATTTGTAAACAAAATGTAATGTAAACAATGAAACATATCAGTGACAGCCAGAAGTGAGAATTGATCCAAACAGCTGTTCGTTATTTCATAAAATGTAATAGTAAACATTAGGAGAAAACTTGACAAAAATCGAACAAAATTGGGCTTTTGATGGTTCGTTATATTTTTTCAAAAGTAGTTAGGCCATATTTTAATAGCCAAAGACACTCTCGCCAATCCAGTGAATACAGAAAAATAATTGGAATCTTGATCTGTATTCTAGTTTTCAAGGAGTAGGCCGCGTAAAATAACATTTTGGCGTTACAGACGCAACCACAGAATGGACAGACAAACAGACAAACAGACATACATACAGAAATTGAGATAAGACTCGTTTCGGATTTCTTAGGCTATGAAACGTAAAAATAACCAAAAACTGCATGATTCTAAGCAATGTACAGACAAAATTGTAATTTTATTTATATAGATATAATAAAGAAACAATATAACTTACAGTCAGAAATAATATCAATGAATTGGAAACCAAGCAAACCCAATTTTAACAATTATTGCGTAGTACAAAGTGGCATAAACAACGGAAACATGTTGTGTGCTGGCTGTGAGTAGCGGCTTGAGGACTGCAGTGACGTCATCGACTCGGCCCGATTGCTGAGGGGGAGAGGGGCGCGCTCTGTCTGGTTTACCTCTTTTACTCCATACATCTTGACTTAAGGCAGGTAACGTGCCCACCAACTGGCTTCGTGTGAACACAGCTTTAGAATTTTACTTTCATCAGAATCAAACCAATAACCTTCAATTTAGTAGGCAAACACTATAACCACTCAGCTACCAACACAGTATGTATACTAGAATAGAATAAGGTGTTTTTACTTGATATCAGGTTTAGGTGAAGGTTCCCCAGCCTCCAGGTTGAAACCCTCCAGTTGCAGCCCAAGCAACTTCAAGCTCCGTCGAAAGTTTCTAATGCAGCTCTTGCTACCAGTGACTTCATCAGTGGATGGAGACAAAATGAGTTCTTGATGTAGCTCCCCAATACCGTGTCTGACCAACAGTCATAACAAGTGTTACTTAAAATGCCCATCTAGCTGTCACTCTCAGAATGAAACCACAATTGCATTTTTCAATTAGCACACCAAAGAAATCTTCTTCAAGTGGAATATCTTAACTAAAACAATCTTTGATGCACATAATTGTTGTTTTACTATTGTTTATAAGTTCTAAAAGAACATTTTTATGGAGTATTTTACAAGTAAATAATAAAAATCAATAAAAAGAAAAGTGAGTCAACAAAGTAGCGGTCGGCTAGTTGTGTTCTTTTTTATGATCAAGTTTAGTTAAATTATTCATTATCCTTCGTTCACGTTGATCATGTTCTTGTAATGCTAGTTTCTTGTTTTTGTTCAGAGTATACTTGTTACTTACTATCGTATGCACTATTAAGTAGTACAGTATTATTATTATGACTTATTAATTACTAGTGTACATGTTGCTCGAAATCGAGCAATTGCAAAGAAGTACAGGAGTTATTTATAAACAAATAACTTGTTTAAAAATAATAACAGTCATAATTTCTGATGATTTTAAAAGAGTCAACTATAAGATTATTAACTAAAGGAAATACTCACTATTTACATGACAGTCCTATTCCAGTTTAAAGGGTTGATTTTTAACAATCAATATGTCCATGTACGGGAAAAGGTAAGCTTACATTAAGTCAACGTAAAAAGGCTGTCAGCTTTTATAAAGTACCGTACCTAAGTTGTTTAGCCAATATGTAAACAATAAGGTTTAGGCTACTTTAAACTCTACAGGATAGAGTTAGGCAAAAACTGACAGAACTCTGAAATGGTGTTATTTATCATAGGCTTAATAATATGCCAAATCCTTAGAATAAAAATGCAATAACTAATAACCGATATCATTCAACACAAACCAACATCCAATACTAAACACATTTTTAATACAACATAGATAATTTACACATTGACTGTTTTACATATGTTCTTCTTCTCACTATTAATTTTTGCTTCGCAACGGGAAAAATCTGTTTCATAATCATTGAAATAGATTTATAATAAATAATCTATCATAAAGTTTAAGATTAAATAAATCTACCACATAGTTGTTTTACATGGTCAAAGGAAAATACATTTTTTGGATCAGCTTTCGGAATTTGTGAAATAGAAATTTGACAGTTCTGGTTGTTTTCAATAAAATTTTAAAGCAAATGTAAACATTGTGAATTTTCTCATGCTTCCATGGAAACGAATGATTTAATATTTACTTTCTGACAACAGCTGAAGTTTCAAAACAATGTTTGTTTCCCATGTTAATATTATGGAGGAATATGAAACTTTAAAGGGCCCTAGGGCCTTACTCTCTAATTATTTACCTTAAAAGAAAGTTTCCTGCACAACTTCACGTTACGCTCTTTCCAATGACACCAAAAACTTGCCAATCGGTTCAGTAGTTTCGGAGGAGTAATTGTCACAAAAATCGTGCTTGCGTATTAAATAAGTAAATAGATGATTCGTATCTTTTAACAACTCATCTTTGTACACTACTCATTATATTGTATTTAGTGCCGGTATTGCTTGTTTTTCACTCAAATGTTTAATGTTGCAGTCTGTTATCAATCAAACACAAAAGTGTAGGTAACACACCATTTACTATTCTTAACAACAAACATTCTCTATTTCGCACAGACAGAATACCTCCCTTACTCGATCTTGCGGCCTCGTCTCAAGTTTTGCTCTATTTTAAAACCACCAATCTCACCTCTCTAATTGTCAGTTGTTGTTTTTGTTTTGAGTTTATTTGTTATTTATTTACTATGCATGCGCTATTTATTATTACGTCTTATTTATAATTTTTTTAAGGCATATTGATTCTTGTGTGAGCAAGTAATATTAATACTTTAATACTTTATTATGAAATAGATTACTGATTGTATAACTTTGTATATTTGTATGTATGGTATTTATTGTGTACCATAATGGTTTTTGCCTTAAATAAATAAATTGAATTGAACTGAAAACTAATCGATGAATTTTGATAAAATGATAAACATGGTAGAATGAGCCATTAACTGCCTCTCGACTCGATGACTGTTATTTTCTTAACTTTATCTTTCATCATCTCAATATCTTAAGTAGTTTGTAACTGAGCCCTACCTGAGCCCGAGGGCAGAGTGACACCTGATGGTGGCTGCCTGACCATCTCCTCTTCCTCTCACACTACAGGCACTCTTGGGCCTAGGCTTGGTCGAGCCTACCTTAGTTCTCTTCGCACCTCCGGCTACTGACACCTCGCTGTCAAAGTCGTAGTAAGGCTCCTTGAACCCATCATCTGAGTCACAGCTGTAAGTCATTTTTCCTGTTCCAATAAACAGAGTAACCATTAACATGACTATTGAAGAAGGCATTACAATTAAACTCCTAACCCGAAACTATAAGAATAAATTCAAATCAATTTTGAAATTGGCTAGGCGGGGAATTGAAATTGTCTACCACATACATAGTAGGGTTTAAACTAACATTGCACAAAAAATTATAAATTATTTTAAAGAAAATATTCTATCCATACAGTTGTAGATTTAAAATGGTAGTTATAAAATTAAAGTAACATAAACATTAAAACATTCATGGTGGAAGGATAAAAACTACTGTTATATTTCACTTTCAATTGAACTAAAATAGCCTTTAGACTCCAACCATGGATTAACCGAAAAATGAGCAATTCATACCCCCTTTTAATCGGTTAATTACTCAGTGTGTATTTATTGTATTTGCTTAAGATTAATTTTGAAGAAATTAATTTAAAGGAACTGTTTTGCATTGTCCAAATCTGGTAGTTGTTTCAAACCTATTGAGGTGTGAGATTTCCAAAATATGAATGAAGAACTGTTCTTAATTAATAGCGGTATTTTTATCGAATTAGTTAATAAACAGCTGTATCTTGCACTTACGAATACCATGACAAAATTAAGAAGAACCAAAGTTACTAGATCTTGGCTAAATTGTTGCTCGTATAAACTGGTACACGGAAGTAATAAAATAATCATGGTTAAAAAATAAGTCTTTGAGATTCAATTTAATTTTTTTTTCATAAGATGTTATTACTTTTAAAATATTGTTATTGACTAAAAGGAAATTAAGAACTTTATAAAATCATCATTCACTTACCATCAATGTAAATAGGTAACATTTTGAACATCAATATCAAAACATGGGCTATCGATGCTCATCCTTTTTTCTTTCTCCCCCTATACATAGTATATGGAGAAAGTATTGTTTTCGTCAAAATTTTTGAGTTTGGGTTTTGAGTGGATATATCCGTTTTGGGTCCCCCTGAACCCAAAAAAGTGGTTTTCGAAGTGATGTCTGTGTGTGTGTGCGTGTGTCTGGATGTGTACAGAGCTACAGACAACACCTGGTAGTCTGATTTTGGTGAGATTTGGTATGTAGGTACTAATCCATGGTATCTCCAGGCGTTTTTTTCACTTTTTTGAAATTTTGATTTTTAATGGGGATTTTCCCATAAAAACCCATAAAATAATGGAAAAATCAAATTTTTTCAAAAATGGTCCGAAAGATTTTGATAAAAATTTAGTATGTTGTAGCCCTTTAAATTCCGAGCAAAATGGTACAACTCCCATTTCTGTAAAAATTACGAGTTACAAATGATTATACTTGAGCTGGCTTGTGTCCATGTTTAACTCGGACTCAAAAAATCACTAATTTTCTGAGCCAGGTGATGGCCGAGTTATCCAGACTGCCGGGTTATCGAGTGCCGAGTTTGCGGGACTCTACTAATCCTTATAATTCCAAACAACATAGTGCAACCCCCCATTGCTGTAAAAAATATGGTTCAAAAGTTATTGTAACCTATGTTATTTTCCCATAAAACACCAATTGCCAATGCCAATGTCTGTATATGTATGGATCAAAGGCAATAAAGATTCTTGATTCTTAATTTAAAAAACGGAAAAATTGATTTTTTTGAAAAAAAAAACTATTCTGATTAAAATTCTTCTGTTATGGTCCTTATAATTCTAAACGAAATATTGCATCCCTTCATTCCTGTTAAAATTACTGTTCAAAAGTTAATGAAACTTTTGTGACTTTACCTATTAAATATCATTGTTATTCTCATCGCTTACCCATGATAAGGGTTGACAGACAAGCTAATGGGAGAAAGTATGTGTCAGATTGCTGATACCGTTTATTTTTTACATCACGCCTGTGATCTAGTTGTTAGAATTATCGCTCACGTTAACTGGTATGTCGCCGGTCACAGCTTAGCAACTTCCTAGTACCTAGATTTGTCGCTTGTGTGAAAGTGGTGAAAAAAGTAGTAAAGACGAGCAGTCCGGAGTGTGGGAACTGTTTATGGCGATTAGATTAAGGTATCTACAATCCTAAAATGCTATGGGAAGGGAGGGAAACAAGTCCGCGACGTAGGAAGGGGCGAAGGAAGTAGTAAAGGCGAGCAGTCCGGAGTGTGGGAACTGTTAATGACGATCAGATTAAGGTAGGCCTTTCTGCAATCCTAAAATGCTATGGGAAGGGAGGGAAACAGGTCCGCGACGTAGGAAGTTGTGAAGGAAGTAGTAAAGGCAATCAGTCCGTAGTGTGCGATCTGTTTATGACCATTAGATTAAGGTATTTGCGATCCTAAAATTATATGGGAAGGGAGGGAAACAGGTCCGTGACGTAGGAAGTGGTAAAGGAAGTAGTCAAGGTGAGTTGTCTGGAGTGTGGAATCTGTTTATGATGATTAGATTAAGGTATCTACAATCCTAAAATACTATTGGAAGGGAGGGAAACAGGTCCGCGACGTAGGAAGGGGCGAAGGAAGTAGTAAAGGCGAGCAGTTCGGAGTGTGGAAACTGTTTATGACGATCAGATTAAGGTATCTGCAATCCTAAAATGCTATGGGAAGGGAAGGAAACAGGTCCACGACGTAGGAAATGGTGAAGGAAGTAGTAAAGGCGAGCAGTGTGGAGTGTGGGAACTAGAAACCGTTTGTAACAGTTAGATTTATGTATCTGAAATTGAAATACTGAAATGCTATGAGAAGGGATGGAAACATGTCCACGACATAGGAAATGGTGAAGGAAGTAGTAAAGGCTGTCATCGCAGAGTGGGGGAATGATTTTCCCCGAGCAAAGCTCGGTCCCCAGGTACTCCTATATTCTAATATAAGCAATGTTTGCTTGTATGCTTGCTTGCACAAAGATCTCGAAAATGGCTCTGTCGATTTTCTTCAAATGTTGTAAATAGTTTATTCCTGGCCTAAAAACAAGTTTACTGTAGTTAGAACTGCCAATAAAAATCTAATTATGTTGAAAAATAAAACTGAAAGTCACATTTTTTTAACATTAGTCTTATGGGTTGCTAAGTAACCATGTTGGTTGAATTAAATAACAAGGAAAAGGTAAACAAAAGACTTGTAAGTGATTAAGGTAGATTTCCCATCTTTATGGAACAGCTGAAGCCTCTTTTATTGTTAGTTCTGTCCGGTTTTCTGTAGATGTCGTGCTTTGTTTACAATTTGTTTCTTGTTATTTCAGTAATTTAAAACCTCGTTTAACCAAATAATACTATTTAATCATAAACGATAACTCGTTCACTATATTACTATATTGCTATCGTTGGCTATATAACCAAACAGTGAGACACAAATAATGAGAAACTAACCCTAAAATAATAGAAACAAATTGTAAACAAAACACGACTCTACAGAAAACCAGACAGAACTAACAATAAAAGAGGCTTCAGCTATTCCATAAGGATGGTAAGGTATCTACAATCCTAAAATGCTATGGGAAGTGAGGGAAACAGGTCCGTGACGTAGGAAGTGGTGAAGGAAGTAGTAAAGGCAATCAGTCCAGAGTGTGCGATCTGTTTATGACGATTAGATTAAGATATCTGCAATCCTAAAATGCTATGGGAAGGGAGGGAAACAGGTCCGCGACGTAGGAAGTGGTGAAGGAAGTAGTAAAGGTGAGCGGTCCGGAGTGTGGAAACTGTTTATGACGATTAGATTAAGATATCTACAATCCTAAAATTCTATGGAAAGTGAGGGAAACAGGTCCGTGACGTAGGAAGTGGTGAAGGAAGTAGTAAAGGCGAGCAGTCCGAGTGTGGGAACTGTTAATGACGATTAGATTAAGGTATCTACAATCTTAAAATGCTATGGGAAGGGAGGAAAACAGGTCCGAGACGTAGGAAGTAGTGAAGGAAGGTGAGCAGTCCGGAGTGTGGAAACTGTTTATGAGGATTACATTAAGTTATCTACAATCCTAAAATGCTATGGGAAGGGAGGAAAACAGGTCCGAGACGTAGGAAGTAGTGAAGGAAGGCGAGCAGTCCAGAGGAAAATGTTCATAAGGATTTTAAGGTATCTGCAATCTTAAAATGCAATGGGAAGGGAGGGAAACAGGTCCGTGACGTAGGAAGAGGTTAAGGAAGTAGTAAAGGCTAGCAGTGTGGAGTCTGGGACCTGGAAACCAATTGTAACAGTTAGATTTATGTATCTGCAATTGAAATACTAAAATGCTATGAGAAGGGATGGAAACATGCCATGACGTAGAAAATGGTGAAGGAAGTAGCAAAGGCTGGCATCGCAGAGTGGGGGCCCCAGGTACTCTCCTTTAAATATGAATACTCATAAGGTTAACATGGGAAACTGCAGAGCCACTGGGGCAGAGCCCGAAAGGATTTTTGAAATAAGAATATGCCTATATGTTAATCGGGAATGTGAGCTATCATCATGCTAAATTTCAGCCCAATCCTACCAGTATTCTTTGCGTTTACTTGTCACAAACATACATCCATACATTCTCATTTATAATATTAGTAGGATTCTATAAACCATAATTGAACTTCACGATTGCAATTGGTACATATTTAAATACAAAATCCCTAAAGAGTTGATGGCTACTTACCACCTTTTGTCTGCTCCTGTGGGCACCTGTTGGATCAATATCCTGGTTGTTGTGAGCTGGTTCCCATGACGACTTGACTTGATCAACTGATGGTTTGTCTTCTGGCGATTATTTATCATGTTTTAAGCTTTGGTTCCCATGGAATAGGTTAAAAGACAAATTTATCTTGTGTTTCACACAACTGGGTCTTTCTCTAATAAAAACTGTATTAACTTGTTAATGTTTTCAGGGCTCATAATGCATGTAGGATATTTTCCCTTTCTAGAAAAATAAATAGCTTGAATATTTTAAAAGAAAATACAGTATAGGAAATAAGCAAAACTAATGAGCAAAATAATATGTTAACATTTAATAAATTAAGCATGTCTGATATAAGAAATATAGTGTTTTCTTTTAACCCATCCAAGGCTTCAGAGTGGGATGAAATTACGTTATTTGTGATTAAACATGTAATAGACTTTATCCAAAAACCTTTGAGCAAACTCACCCATGTATTCTTTTTTTCTGGTAAGCTAACCAGCCACTGGAGAAGGGAATTTTTCCTGATAAATTAAAATATTCTGAAATTAGACCATTATTTAAGAAAACCGACAAAAACAACCTAGACAATTACCGTCCTATCGCCATTACTTCCACGTTTTTCCACAATATTTGTAAAAGCAATTGATATTCAATTAAGATCTTTTTAGGAAAGTAACAACATCTAAAACAATACTCAATTTGGTTTTCGAAAAGGGCACAGTTGTCAAACATTAATGGCAAGAATGGTTAACTGCATCACACGGGCTCTGGATGGATCTCAGAGCGCAGCTGGTGTTCCCTGTGATCTGTCCAGGGCATTTGATTGCGTTGATCACGATATTCTCATTGGTAAATGGAAAACTATTTTTCAGGCACCCCACAAGATTTTTGGGTTGAACAGTAAATGGACGTTTTTACCCTTGACCGGAAAATGGACGACGGCAAAATGGACACAACCGTAGTGTGTCACCCATTGTATAGTGCTTGAATTGTATCTTTTTTTATGAATCCAGGGACAAATTTTAGAAAATCGTTACCAGCATGAGGGTTTTTTTTCCAAAAAATTTTAATTTGTGAGGCTGGACAAACCCCCTTCTCCTCCTGAATTATAAGAATGCACTGAATTTATTACTTGCTCAGATTAATTTTTTTTTGCGATAAGAATGGTTTCATAAATTAATATATTGCCCATAAACTGTAAAAATTTGTAATTTCTTAAAATGTTCTTTTGCCGAATCATCTCGTTTAAGCTTAAGCATAATTCTAATTCTGATAGCCTCTTTTTGTCACTTCAGAATGATATCCATATTTAATATTTTTGTTGACCCATATAATACTAAACCGAATGAAATATGGGAGTGAATGTGAGCAAAATATATACTTTTTAGGGTTTTCAAATTACAATAAAAGGACATTTTTGATAATGCGAACATTCCGGAGTTAGTTTTGGTTAAAACTTTCTGTGTGTTTATACCAATTCAATTTTTCATCTATTGTTAATCCCAGAAAGTTGATTTGATTTTCCTTTTAAATGTTATTTGAGTTGTATATTATTGTTGGCTCTTTTGTAATTTTGTTCTGAAATTTATAAATTTAGTTTTTTGTGAATTTAATAATAAGTCGATGTAGAAATAGTTTCCAATATTCTCTAATTCTACATATGTAAAAATTCCAGTGTCTTCTGGAGAGTTAGATGATACAATCAATCAAATTAGAATCATCAGCGTAAAGACATAATTTAGAATTTTGCTTATAGGTTAAAGTATCTTCCATGCCCCACAAAAAAAGCAAAGGCCCCAAAATTGAACCTTGTGGCACCCCAAATTTAATTGGTTGATAAGTTGATGATGATTTGATAATTCTATTACGATCTGTCAAATGGGTAATTTCCACGAATTGAGATCTATTTATCAAAGAGGAAGAAAACCAATTAAGAGCTCTTTTTGATATTCCAATTATTTTAAGTTTTTCTAGTAATTTACTATGTTTTACACTATCAAACGCTTTAGAAAGGTTCATAAATATGCCAATTGCATAATGTCCTTTGTGTACTGATTCAGTGACTGATTCGATAAAAGAAACAGCTACGCTCACAACTGATCTTCCATTCCGGAACCCATGCTGATTATCATCCAAAATATTAAATTTTTCCAAAAACTCTGATAGTTGTAAGTAGACGGCTTTTTCATACACTTTAGAAATTGATGGAAGAACAGACACTAGGCGATAATTGGATATATTTTCAGGGTAATTTATTTTGTGTAAAGGAATTATTTTTGCCTGCTTTAATATGTTAGATCAGATGACAAACAATTTTGCGGGAGTAGGTTTTTGCAGCCTTTATTATTGTCACAGGAATTTCATCATGCCCACTGGAGTGTTTATTTTTTTAAAGATTCCACCTTCCTTTCAGTGATCGGTTTCAGCTCAAACTTTGGCTTTACAAACAAGTCATCGATAAAATCAGCTTTCACATCAGCCGTCACATTTTGATTGTTACAATTTAAATTTAAATCAAAATCTGTAGCCATGTTGGTAAAATAACCATTAAACATATTTGCAATTTTACCAGGGTCTAAAATTGTTTCTGAATTTTGTTCTTAAATTATATTTTCTAATGGTTTCTTGTTCTTGTCATTTTCCCCAACTTCAGAGTTGATTATATTCCAGACGGTTTTCTGAATGTTTTGTGAATTTTCAATTTATTTTTTAAATATCCGTGTTTAGCCTTATTTAGTTCTCCTTTATAAATAGTCTTTTCCTGATGTAAATAATCTTTTAAACTATTACTTTTTTTACTACGATATTCCTTAGTCAGTTGAATAATATGTTGTTGTTTCATATTTAATTCTTTAGTTATCCATGTACGTTTTTTATTTCTCATTCTAACCAATATTTTTGGAAAAGCCTGATCAAAATAGAAAGAAAAAAATGTAAAAAAAGACATCATACTTTGTTTCTAACCTGGAATTATAGATATCAAACCAAGATTCATTGGAAAGTAATTGTGTAAAAAGATTAGATATCAGGTGAAAATTTACGCAACTCTTTTTTAATCGGCAATACGTACATAGTATAGCATAGTATGTATGTTACAAAATGAGAAAAAAAGTAATACAAATGTATAAAACGGCTGCTTTGATTATTATATTATTAGAACTGGTTTGTGAATCAAGCCTTATCACTTTATAATATTATTCAAGCGATCTCCACAACTCCAGCATTCTAGACAAATTTAACATCATGACCCCATAAAAGGTTGTTTTAATCCCTCCAAAACTAAAAATGCAGAAGAATGTTGACCAATACCATACCTATTATTGACTCTCAAATGTGGCTTTGAACAACAAGCGTACAACTGGATCCCCAAACTACGATTTTGGTGCTGGGGTTGACCTCTAATTGGGTACCTAATTAAATTTTAAAGCAAATACTGAAATTCTTCAGTTTTCCTTGCATTCTCACAATAAGACTGATCTAAACACAGCAGCAGTGAAGGGCAAAACTCTGCTACGGTATTTACTTGAGAAAGTATGCAAGACAAATTACATCAAAACATCAATTTTCTGAATGAATGAGTGTTAAGTGTGGTCAAACAATGGCAGGCTCAAGTGGTGCCTAAGTTAACACTTTTAGAACCATGCTTGCCATTGTTTGCAGCAGGCAACACAACTTAACAGTCAATAATACTTGGTTCTATCCGATAACCTGGCGAAACATGGATCTTTGTCAAGGTTCTGAGTACTGTGTCACCAGCAAACTAGTGCAAGATAAACGTGTTTGTCATTGGGTAAAAATAACAAAGATTTGTTTGGTAAAAATATTTTTTACAAACATAATATAACAATACATTTACAGAATGAATCCTATGTTTTAACTTAACTTTATAAATATTGATTCTTAACATACATGTCGAGGAAAAGAATGATTAGTTGGTCAGGACCTTTAATGTATTCTACATTAAACATATTAAGGTAATCTTTGTTTTACATTATCACAGAACTAACATAAATAATAAACTGCATGGAGAATTATTGTAAAAAATACAACAAATTTAGTTTCACGGCACAGTCTTAATAAACTCGAGGAAGAGACTATACAGAAATTTACATGTTACTGCTTGTCCTCCTTCTTCTCTTTCTTCTCCTCTTCTGTTTGCTCAGTTGAACCACTGCTGCTACTACTTGAACCTTCCCTCTCAGCCGCCATCTGGTAAAAATAATTACATTCTTATTTCATTAATATTTTTAGTTTGGTTAAAAGTTGTGTGGAATGTGTGTAAAGCTAAATCTATATATTAATAGGCAAGCATGTTTCTTTAAAACCTTTTTCTCAGCTTGTATGCATCGCAGGGAAAATCTATGCATACTGTTAGAAAGGTATTTTCCTGTAGATAAGCAGAAACCCTTTAAACATTAAAATAGGCTCAAATATAAGCACAAAAAATGAATTTGAAATTTTAAAAAATTAACATGGGCTTTATGGGTTGCCATGCTGGTGACGAAGTAACAACGAAATATAAACAGAAAATCAAAACAAATAGAAGAAATTACAATCACATGTTTTATTTGCAGTATGGAGTGAAAATAGAGAAACCTGTACCTTTGACGCTTTCACTTACAACTAGACATTCTATCCCCATGTTGAAGTCGTAGTTGATGTGAGCCACCAACAGATTGCGCTGATCTAAATTACTAATTTCTGTTGAATACAAGATGTTTTTTACCAAGTCAAACTTATGGAATGACTTATTGTGAGCTATAGCAACTGTAATGACCCATCAAATTTGTCGGCAACAAAAAATAAGGTAGAAATAATTTTAGACACACATTCTGTGACTGGCTCACACAACTACAGGTTTTTAATAAAAAAATGGTGACAGCTGGTCCATAATCTATGTAATGTAATGTAATGGCGTGTCTACTTCAGTATCCAATAGTCAATGCGTGTACAACCAACCACACCAGGCTAGGTTAGGTAAAATAACCAAACAGTAAACAAATTTTATTAGATGTAATTTTTAAATTAACAAATAACCTAACTTTATCTTACCTGTTGTGGTGGATATAACAGAATAGAGAGAAACAAAGTCTGTACTGTACATACTAAACAAAGTCATAACTTAAACGTTTCTATTAAGGCTATAAAAGTTGAATTTTGTTTCTAAAAGCGTTGGCGGATGTGTAACTATTATATGCAACAGATGTAAAGATTAAAATGTTTCTATTTTGTGTCCTCTTCCCGTTGCAAAGCACGGTACTGTTATGTATTCTCTAAGACTGTTAATAATTCATTTATACCTATTTTACTATCATATGTTTTTCTATTGTTTTTGTTTTGTAAACATTCATGAATTAGATTTTGTTTTGAGTTAATATGCGTGCATTTTTTAATTATTTTGTAATTAATAAGAGTAATTTTAATTGGCGACGAGTGTGAAAATCAACTAGCCACTTTAAAATTAAACACATTTACTTTTCAAAATTACATTCAATTTCTAGTTTCAAGATACACTAATATTTTATACAGTTCAAACTATAATGGATGCACAACAGTTTACCTTGCTTCTAAACACTTTCAATGAACAACAAAAAGCACTTGTACGTGAGATGTCAAACATTTTTCAAGCTCAAATTCAAACAATTGTTACATCAATTGGAAAACCCAGAGAAGAATGTTCTCAATCTACAATGTCAAATGTTGCTACATTCGAAAACTTCAATGCCAAACAAGAAAAGTTTACCAGCTATTTGGAACGTTTCGAAAACTATTATACAATGAAAGGTTTGACTGACAAGAAGAAAATTGCTCAGCTCTTGTGTAATTCTATAGGTAGTGAACATTATAACAACCTATCTGCATTTTTGGGTCCAGACAAGCCACTCAAATCATTAGATTATGAAACTGTTGAATGACTTCAAGAAACTATTGACTCCAAAGAAAAGTGTTGTTGTTGCTCAACATTATTTCTTAAATATTTTTCAAAAAGAAAACCAGTCAATTTCAGAGTTTGTGGCCGATCTCAGACGTAATCTTCAAGAATGTGAATTTGCAGTTGAATGCTCCAGCGATGAATGTGGGACATCTGTGTCAATTGCTGATGTTTTCTTGCGGGCACAGTTCATACGAGGATTAAAGGACAATTGGCTTAGGGAACACATTTTACAATCCGTGTACACTAAGTTTGATGACATTCTAGAGAAAGCTATTGCTCTTGAAGCATCAAAAATTGAAAGCAAAGAATTTCACCAACATGCATGTTCTAACAATTTTAATGTGGATTCCGCTGGAGTGCACATAATTACAAGATCTTCCAGACGATCCCACCAGTTCTCTAACAATCGCTCATCTAATAAGACATCTCTCAACTGGAAACAACGTTCAAATAACATAAGACCTGACTTCAATGCCCTCGGAATAGAAGGCCTCTGTCTTAGATGTGGAAGTAGCAAATACATTGCTGCAAATTGTAACAAACACAAGTATAAACTCCAATGTGGGGAGTGTTTAAAACGAGGACATGTCTCTGCGGTCTGCATAACTACACTGATGTCAAGGACTAAGAAATCAACATCAAAGTTAAATTCGACCAACAACCTAAATTCAGGATCAAATGATGACGATTATTCAAGTGACAACTCTTCTGATTCTTCGGAGTGCACAAAATTGATTCGATCTACCAGAACTTTGATGTCGTAGATTTATTTGAAGTTGGACATGATTCAGACAAGTACATTGTTTCTGTCAGTATAAATGGAAGATCACAATGTTTAGAAATAAAAGGTTAAATACCTGTAGTACTTGTCCGTGATCCTGTGTTTAAGGTCAGCGACCCAGGTTTTGAACCTAAAGGTTCATTTTTAAGCTGATACCATGGTTAAACTCCTTCTAAACACATAAATCCTCTTCATAACTGTGAAGAGTCGTTGAAGACACGAACACGAACACGAAAACACAAACATTTAACAAAATTGGCCAATTAAAATAATACTGGTACGGTAGCGTGCGTGGTGTACACGCACGTTGATGGCTACGTTGATGACACGTTCTTTCTCTTCAATGGTAACATAAGACAGCTCAATATCCTCAACTCATATCTTAATTCCATCCATAAGAATTTAAAGTTTACCTTAGAGGAAGAGAACAACAACAAGCTAAATTTCCTGGACGTAACAATAACAAAACATCCCAACAATTTCACTTTCAATATCTACAGGAAACCAGCCACAACTGACCAAACGATACATTCTTCATCCCATCATCCGTACAGTCAAAAAATGGCTTCATATAATAGCTTTGTTCATCGACTTATTTCTCTACCTCTTAATCAAGACAGTTATAACGAGGAACTTAACATCATAAAACACATAGCAGTATCTAATGGATATAAAAGCTCCATCATAGACAAGATAGTAACTAAACATAAAAATGAAAGTAGGCCTAAGTTGTTAAAAGAGAAACAGAAATATGTTTCCACTGAGTATGGTACAGTTTTGAACAATAGCCTTAAATCTGAAATGACCAAAAACAATTTTAAAATGTCATTTAAAACGTCAAATAAACTATCTTATCTCCTAAAACCACGAATTGTACAAAACACTGCTAATTTTGATAAGAAAGCAATTTATAAAATTAAATGCAATGACTGTCCGAGTTACTACATTGGACAAACAGCTCGTTCGTTTACGCAAAGATTTAAAGAACACCTGCCTAAAAAATCTACTAAATCTGCCTTCGCAAATCATTTGATAGACACAAACCATAATTACACCGACATTAATACCAATCTGGACATATTGCATTATTGCAGAAAAGGCAAACATATGAACACCATCGAAGAGTTCGAAATATACCGATCATCTAAAAACAGTCCTACCCATTTGCTCAATGAAAAATTATCCTTCGAGTCAAATTTAATCTACAATACAGCAATAGATATGATAGATGGCAGTGTCAATGTGATGCGAGGATCTGACGACAACGGGAGTGGTAGGGGGCACATACGTCACGCCCCGACATCGACGCGTACAGTCATGACTCATCTTTTGCCGGCTACACCCCGTACCAGTATTATTTTAATTGGCCAATTTTGTTAAATGTTTGTGTTTTCGTGTTCGTGTCTTCAACGACTCTTCACAGTTATGAAGAGGATTTATGTGTTTAGAAGGAGTTTAACCATGGTATCAGCTTGAAAATGAACCTTTGGGTTCGAAACCTGGGTCGCTGACCTAAAACACAGGATCACGGACAAGTACTACAGGTATTTAACCTTTTATTAGTAAATTACGTGATTCAGAGGCTAAACATGTTGAAAATGTTTAGAAGTTGACAGTGGGGCTAAATTTTCTCTCCTTGCAAAGAATGACTTTGAACGTCTACATCTGAATGTACCTGTAGAACCATCAAGGCTAGCTTTCCGTTCATACTCTGGAGACATAATCAAACCAGAGGGAAAGGTATCAGTTTCTGTATCATACAAGGGTAAACAGTTCAAAGGTGACCTTCACATTGTCCCTTCAGGTCATGACGCACTTCTAGGACGCCAATGGATCCGAGGACTGGGTATTGAGCTGTGTGAAATTCACGCTGAAATGAACCGACCAGCTACTACCCTTCAATTACAACCAGTAAATCCAGTTGAAGAGCTGTTTGAAAAATTTGTGCCAATTTTCGAGCCAAAAATTGGATGCGTTCCAAACTTTACAGTATCATTACATCTTCGATCAGGAGCAAAGCCTATTTTCAATCGTGAACGGAACGTTCCTCATGCTCTTATTGATCAGGTCAAAAAGGAACTAGATTCACTTGAAAATGAAGGAATCACTTCACCTGTTACGTCAAGTGATTGGGGGTCACCACTAGTCGTGATACCTAAAGCAGATGGAAGTGTTCGTCTCTGTGTCGACTACAAATGTGGTGTGAATGAACGAATAGTTCAGGCAAACCATCCTATTCGAAAAATTGACAATGTACTCGATAGTTTGAGAGGATCTCGTTACTTTTGTAAATTTGACCTGTACAAAGCTTATCTGCACCTCAAGGTCAACGAAGAGTCCAGTATTATCCAGACAATGTCAACACACTGTGGAACATATCGTGTCAATCGTCTAAGCTTCGGAATAAAGACAGCACCTTCTGAATTCAACCAAATTCTTACACAAATTTTGAAGGGATTGCCTAAAACCGAGGCCTACTTTGATGACATAATTTGCCATGGTTCAACAATGGATGAGTGCAAAAGAAATCTACAGGCCTGTCTTCAACGACTCTCAGATTTTGACTTACACATAAACAAACAGAAGTGTTCATTTTTTCAAGAACAAATAGAATATCTAGGACGAGTGGAGGAGTTAAACAAAATAAAGAAATCTCCTACCAAAGTTCAAGCTATTAAAGAAATATCACGTCCATCAAAAGTTGAGGAATTACGACGATTCTTAGGAATGGTTTCTTACTACTCTCGTTTCTTTCCAGATGCTTCAACTGTCACTTCTCCTTTACGACGTTTGTTACGTAAAAATAAGAAATGGGAATGGACACCAGAATGTGAAAAGGCTTTTCAACGAATCAAAACTGAGCTGTGCAGTAACAGGATACTCTTACCTTTTGATCCAAAACTACTGTTAGTTCTCACCACAGACGCTTCACCTACTGGACTAGCTGCAGTTCTTAGCCACTTTTAATTGATGGAACAGAAAGACCAATTGCTTACGCCTCACGTTCACTCACTGATGCCGAATGTAACTATAGTCAACTAGACCGGGAAGCATTGGCCATAGTTTTTGGTGTCTCCCACTTCTATTATTACTTATTCGGGACTCAATTTCAACTTGTAACAGATAATCAGCCCATATCTAGGATCTTCAGACATGACAAGGCTCTACCACAAATGACTTCAGCTCGTTTACTCAGATATGCATCATATCTGTCAGGTTTCAATTACAAGTTGGTGTTCAAAAAGGGCATGGAAAATAAAAACGTGGATTGTCTTTCACAAGCTCCTCTTACACAAACTCACTCTCCTAAAGACAAGAAAATCGAAAAAGAGGTACACCAAATCTGCAGCCAAGTTTTTTTCAAATTTCAAGCCATGAAATGACAGCTAAAATCATTAAGAACGAGACAGCCAAAGATCCAGTGATCTTTAAGATTTTGAAAGACCTACTCACCAATTCAACTGATTCTGATTTTACTTTGGTCGAAAACATTATTTTCCGGGGAGAAAGAGTTTACATTCCATCACTACTTAGAAACAAGATTCTAAATAAACTTCACAAAAGTCATCTTGGAATCACAAAAATGAAACAGCTAGCACGGCGCTATGTTTACTGGCCAAATATTGACAAGGACATTGAGCATCTTGTGAAAGGATGTGAAAATTGTGCACTAACACGGTCAAATCCACCCAAAGCTCCCAACCACCCGTGGGAAATCCCAAAAGAGAACTGGGAAAGAATACACATTGACTACGCAGGACCGTTTCAAGGCTTCAACTTCCTCGTGTGTATTGATGCTAGATCAAAATGGGCGGAGATAAAAGTAATCAAAGATGCACCATCCAGCTCCAATACCATACATCTACTTGAACAAATTTTTGCTACACACGGCTACCCAAATGTTATGGTATCTGACAACGCCTCAATTTTTCAAAGTGATACATTCCAAGCTTATTGCAAATTGCATGGCGTTTTCCAGAAATTCAAATCTCCAGGACACCCAGCAACAAACGGCTTAGCAGAACGCTCCGTTCAAACATTGAAGAACCGCCTGAAGTCCACAGCTTCGGAAAACATACCAATGGCAATAAAGGTCCAGAAGATCTTAATGCGGTACCGAGCAACTCCTCAGCATGTGGCAAATCACCCGCTGAACTTTACCTCCGCAGGAAGTTAAGAATACGAATGGATGCCATTTTTCCTAACGTACAAAATCCTTCAACTAAAAATGCTCCTCCAGCACGTTCATTCAATGAGGGGGAGAGAGTTCAGGTTCGTCTCTTCAAGAACAACAAGAACGTTTGGGAGTTTGGAGAGGTAAATAAAAAGTTGGGAACTCGACACTATCTAGTTTCCCTTGATACGTCAGGCCGACTTATAAAACGACACATTGATCAATTGCGGTCCACTTTGATACCAAAACCAAAGGTTGTTAGGGCTGGACCAATCCACATATTTGATGTTCCACGGGCTTCTAAATGCACCAAAGGAAACACTACGGCTGCTACTCCTTATAATCAATTAGCTAATCCTGAAAGACCGTCAACTCCTGAAAGACCATTAACTGCCGTAAGAACATCAAATCCCGGAGGACCGTCAACTCCCGAAGAACGATCAATTCCCGCCAACTTCCAAAGCAAACAATTCAGAGGTTCCAGAAGTTCAGGAAACAGAAACAAACAATGGCCATATTCCTGAGAATCAAGAGAGATCAAGGCGACAAAGGCATAATAATACACTGAAAGTTCAAAATAGTGGGGGAGACTGTTATGTCTTCTCTAGGACTGTTAATAATTCATTTATACCTATTTTACTATCATATGTTTTTCTATTGTTTTTGTTTTGTAAACATTCATGAATTAAATTTTGTGTTGAGTTAATATGCGTGCATTTATTAATTATTTTGTAAATAATAAGAGTCATTTTACATAGTAATTTTAAATTGCACATTCTGGGAACGAATATGTAAAATTACATCTATAGAAATGTGTAAAATGACAAAATTAACTTTATTTATTCAAATCCAACATGATTTTACTCAAATCAAATCAAATCCATTTATTGCCATCAACATTAAATACAGTACATGTATAGAAACGTCATACAGTTTTCATCACAATATTTCACTGTCACACTGTGGACTGTCACTGTATAAATCACTGTCACAGTTTGTTTTACTGTTTTCTATTGTATGCATGCAACAAATTAACAAGTTTATAAAAACAAAAATCATATAATTTAACAACATACAGATGAAATGTGTGTTCACATACCTTCTTGTAAGCCATCTCAAACAGCTTTAGTGATGCTTGCTGCAACTCTGAAGTGGATTTTTTTATTTCCTCAGGTTCAACGTTATCTTTGTTTGAAAGTTTGTCTCGAACTTGATTGATGAGCTCTTTCAGTTTTGTGCACTGGAAAAATTCAAATGTTAATGTATTTCTAGTAAATGGGTGTTAATAAAAAATGGAATCAAAACAAATCTTTTAAATTTTGAACTTTCACGGGTTACTCATGATGTTCTTGACATACTCTGTGCATTTTTCACTCCCAGTTCTTTTAAATGATTAAAACAGTTATTTGAAAACTCTTGCTTAGTGAGCTTTCATTTTAGCTGGAATACGAGAAAAGTTTTGATGAAAAATCACAGTTTTGGTTTCATTCAAACTAAATTAGTTGCTTAAAAGAAAGTTGTTTTAAAAGGTTACTTGTTTCAAACTTATTTTTAAGCATGCCATTATTTTAAAATAATTTATTGAGTACAAATAGCAATTTAGTTTGAAAATCACCAAGATTGGTTCAATCTATAGCCTACCTCTTCTTGTGGCAACTGGTCTTTGAACTCATCCATCTTGGTCTCAGTGTCATGGATGATGCCTTCTGCTTGGTTAACAGCCTCAACTCGTTCCTTCTTCACCTTATCCTGTTGGGCAAACTGTTCTGCGTTGCGCACCATATTCTCTATCTCATCCTTGCTAAGTCCGCCCGAAGACTGAATTACAACTGAAACAGATGAACGTTTTCATTTACCCAATTTAATGTTATTGGTTGTATGATTGGAACAACAGATATTTTCTTTTTTGTCTAAAATATTCAGTTAAGTAAATAACAATTCACCATTTACTGTTTTATGTTTAGGTGTTGCTGTTGCTGATACTCACTTTGTTGTTCCTTGCCAGTGCCTTTGTCTCTGGCTGAAACGTGCACAATGCCATTAGCATCAATATCAAAAGTAACTTCTATTTGAGGTACACCTCGTGGTGCTGGAGGTATCCCAACCAGAGTGAACTGTCCCAACATCTTATTGTCAGAAGCCATCTCTCTCTCTCCCTGGTGTACCTTGATCTCTACCTGTGTCTGTCCGTCAGCAGCAGTGGAAAACACCTGTAAACCACAAAAGTATTCTTCAACCGACTGACAGAACTGGCTAAAATATGAAAACAGTGTACATAATATACTTATACATACATGTATATATGATATGATATATATGGGAGTATTTCATTTGGTCCAAAATCGTTTGGTCCAACACTCTAATACGAGTTCGTTTGGTCCAACAGTATGAACTATTGCGTCCATCACATTGAAGGCGTAATCGCAGTTGATAATAATTGATATGTTTGCATTTATATACACGTACATATACATATATTTATTTATATATAATGTGTTTGTGTCCTGTTTACTTTTTATCCCCAGTCAATCTTAAAACAACGCGTTTTAATTCCCTAGGTTTGTGGATAAATATTGACTTTGCTTTTTTGAGTTTGCATTTAATTTTTAACCCTTTCAGTGTTAGGCCAATAATTCATATTTTGTAAGACTTTTTTGTTTGCCTTTTAATTCCATTACCCGTTGTTGAATTTTAACTGTCATGTTGTCACTATTTTATTAATTAGGCTAATTTTGAATAATAACACAATAAGAAAATATATAAGAAAGATAAATCCCGGTATTTGTAGTAAACATCAAATAAAACTTAGTTTTTGTTGTAATTTTCCTGGTTTTCCTATAAATTTTTTTGTTCTGATAGCATTATTTGAAACCGAAATCTCACAAAATCAAAAGTCATATAGTTTACAATGTAATATTGAATTTAACCCTGATTTAGTTGGACGAGGTTATTGTAATATAGCAATTTTAGGAAAACTAATGTTTTGCAGCAAAGTCTCAGGAACACATTTACTACTACTAAAACTAAAACAGGGTGTCCACAAAAAATTTGTCATTAATTTCCATGACTTTCCATGACTATCCATGACCATTTACCATTGATTTCCATGACTCACAAACTTTACACGCAAATTATAATATAACACACACACACAAATAATACTGCCTGGACATGTTATTTTGTAGAAAATACTGAAATAGGCCTATGTAATAACAGATAACAATGGAGTACAATAGGTGCAACAATGAACTAAAACAAACCAAAACTCATGAAATAATACAACTGTAATAAATTGAATTGTCGAACATTTGTGAAAAATCCTGAAAAATGCTACAACAGTCGGGGTTACGGCTGACAGAGTATTGAATGGTCCCCTCAAATCCATCCATAATTGGAAATTTCCATGACTTTCCATGACTTCTTGCCTATTTCCCTGACTTTCAATGACCAAAATTTGTTTCCATGACTTTCCATGACTATCCCTGACTTTCCAGAATGTGGACACCCTGTAAAAGATTGCATCTAAATAGTCCGTGACTAGCTGGTGCTGCTACCTAGTAACGCATTGAACAACCATCTGCAGCGCCATCTGTTCGCAATCGGTGGCGACAGCTTAAATACCGGGTTTTGACTCCCCAGTCTTCAAGCACAGATAGCCGAGAAGGCTAGGGCGTGTGTCACTTAGCCAGTGGCATTCGTCTGCTCGGGTTCGAATCCCGTCCTGTGTGGCAAATAATTGGTGACCTGTGTGTTTGTAGCGATATACTACAACCACTGGGGAATAGTGAGGTGTTCATAATCCTTGGTTTAGACATACACCTCGAAATCATCGGATTGGGCAAATCTTTTAGCTAAGTGGTTGGTAGTGTATCCTATGAACATGCAGGTCACTAATGGCCATTTTGCTTTTTTTTTAAATAACCTTCCTCTCTATATCCCTTAGGGTTTTTTTAAAACAACGATATATCGTTTCATAGCACTGAAAGGGTTAACAGATGGCTTATTTATCTCTATATTAAATTAAATCTATGTTTGTTGTGTGTTTGTCATGGTATTTGTAACAATCATGTAGTTAATAATACAAATATATAAAGTGAATTTCTCAGTGAAGATATATCCTATTTGTAAAACTTCCCAAAATGTTATGTTTACTCCCCATGAGAACCAAGAATAAATTATTGAAAAGAAAAGTTTGTATTTATTGTGGTTTATTGTCAATGGTATTCTTAAACATTAACTCTAGCTATATATATAATAGAGGAGGTATGTATTTATTATATTTATGTATGTATGTACTAGGGATGGACGAGTAGTGTTTTTTTGAGTAGAGTCGAGTCGAGTAGTTCACGAGAAAATCAACAATTTTATTTTACATATATTCTATTCCATCTTTATTTTTACGAACAAAGCATTTCTCAATTCACCAAAAATAAACCTGGTTAAAAACTTTTATACCATATACAAAACACAATATGTATGTGTATCAAACTTTTATTTTGGTGTTAAAGGTTTATTATTAATTGCAAAAATATGGAACTAAGTGTTTATTTTAAAATAGGCCTACTGTAAATGTTTGAATTTGACTAAAGCATGCGATCTAATAAAGTTTCCTCTAATTTATAAATAGGCTTATAAGTATTTATCCAATTCATTTCTCAGTTTTTGTATTTATTTGAAATTCCATGAAATTGTCTTAGTTAACTCATTAGTTTATAATTTTTGTTAATTACGTACCTAGCCTACATCTTGGTCTACAAATACACTATTTGTAAGGTAAGTTTTTCCCCCAAGTGAGTAAAAAACTAACTTCCTATATAATGACATTTTCTCACTAATTATATATCTTCAAAATTTGTTTAACTATGAAAAAGTCACCACTAATCAAACTAACTAATCAAACAAAATGTTTAACACTTTTATTTCTCAACTTTTTTTCTCTTGAAAATGTCAACAGTTTTTCACTTATTTTTAATAAAGATTATCACTTATAATTGTTTTAAAGAAGTCCAGATGTGTGAACTTTTTGAGCAGACAAGAGACATACGTCACTGCCACAAAAACTCTTCTCTACTGTGAATGAATGAACTGTTTATTGTGTGAAGCCCCACCCACCATCTAACGGGACATGGGGGAGGAAAAGAGAAAGTTTGGCAGAATTTGCCCTTGTTCTAAAGCCTGGTTCACATGCCCTCCCTCACCCTCGGCCTCAGTCGCTTGCAAATTTCCATTACACAAGAGTGTTAATTATTTTGAAATACTGTAAATGTTTGAATTTGACTATGATAAGATCTAATAAAGTTTCCTCTAGTTTATAAATAGGTAACTTTTAAGTATTAATCTAAGTCATTTGTCAGTTTTTGTTTTTCTTTTTAAAAGCAATTGCAGTTATACATTAAAAAAATTACAAACATCTTGGCCTACAAATACATTTTGTAAGGAGAGTCTTTTCTCTAGTGAGTAAAAACGATCGTGGTCAAGGAATGAACTGTGCTAAAACAGCACATTGTCAATGTTTACTAAAGTATTTTGACTGAAACCCTGGTATTTTTTTAAAGACATTGCATAATAGCCTATGTCGACGTCTGTGGAGAAAAGTATGGCAATAGATAGGTTTTACTTTTAGCCTACAATAAAGATTATGTTTTGGGGCTAAAATCTCCAAAAGAGTGGTTTTAACAAACATTTCATAGTTTTATTTAGTAACAAAAGTGTTTGACTATGTTCCCGATTATACCAAGAACAAGGTTCGGCAGAGTGGATTCACTGTGAACCGGCCTGCCTGGCCCTTATGCACGACTTCACTATAACCTCCGTGTAGGGGTGTCAACAATGGATCGGAACAATCGAAGTTTTGAACCTTATTTTTTATACTTTTTATACTTAGTTTTTTATACTTAAATACTCATTATTTATAAACAAACACGTCCTACATATCGGATCTCGAATCACGATATTTAACGATACCCTTTCCACCCACAATAAAACATTAAACGATGTCAAAGCAATCGTCATTTGCTCCATTGAAACACGAAAGTCGATTGGCTGACATGGTAGTGCACTGACGCCTCCTGACCAATGAGAACTGTTGTTACATACTTTTATTGTCAACATTCACCAATTGTTTTAACATTACAAAATCGACACGGACTAAGACTTATAATATTTTTCAATAAATACATTATGTTATAGTAGCACTTAACACTTCACTATACTCTTTAATCAGGTAGATAGTACAGGGATCTACTTTTTGGCGCAATATAAAGCGCCAAAACACTGTGCCTGCCTAACCATACGACGATGTTAAAGTTTAATGGTTGAATACAATTTTTCTAATGATGCGTATAATGCAGGGATTATTAAACTGAAAATTTCGACGTGTTTAGGTTATTTATTTTGTACTAAAAATAAAAATAATACATCTAAATGTCTGACTTATTGATACAGACATTGTTTAGTATTTAATTTCGTGTTGGCAGGACATTCGCGCGCCGGTTGTCTCTTGAGTTGAGTCTGACATCTTGAAATGTAGATTCGTAGATTGTGTTGTGCAATGCTGAAGCTAAACAATGTCACCGGCACCGTCGCTGTTTTGAACTAGATAGTTTCTAAGTTGGCTATGAAAATTGTTAACCGTGATGACAAAACTAATACCGTAGCTATACGGTACAGTAAATAATTGTTAAAATAAAATATTTATCCCTGTCGGATGTCGGTATCATCGGAATCGACTTTTGACAATCGAGTCTTGGTACCGATACCAATGTCCAAGTATCGGTGGTATCGATGACGATAATCGAATCATCCCTTCTTACTAGTAGAGCTGTATCGTGACGTAATCGATGCACCGGGATTTTGATGCATGCTGGATCGAATCGGGATTCGATGCATCGCACTCGCACACCTACACCACTGCCTATCACCCAGTGACCCAGTGTCAGCTCAGCTGTCGGCGCTGTCGCTGTCAGTGAAATGGATGATGCAAGCGATGTCTAGGTTGCCGATTATTAGTAGGCCTAGTATGTCACTAGTTAAAGGGGTTAAGGGATTAAATAAAACTCAAACATTTTCCTTTCTTACTATCTATTTACTAACTATTTATTTGTCAAATATCAATGAAAATAACGAAATCGGCTTAACTTCTACTACTCGACTCAAGTCACGAGTATCTTTAACTACTCGACTCGACTGTCGAGTATTGCCAACTACTCGA